GATAATTAAAAAAAATTTAAATTATGATTTAATTTTATTTATTTTTAAACGTAAAAGGTTGTGCAATTAGATAAAGGTAAAATTGAAAGTTTAGGTAGATTAAATCTTAGTTACTAAATTATGATTTATATAAGGTTAAATATTTAATTATAAGTATAAAGAGTAATATATATGTTAATTTTTATTATATTAATCGCTCTGAAAGCTCGCTCATCTTCTTCTCCATTTCCAGGCAAGCTTCCTTGTTGCATTTTCCTCTCATACAAATCGGCTCTTTTCTGGATTGTTGCCTCTATTCGATCGCTGTGACGTACACAGAAAAACCCCAAATCTCAGGAACCGAGTCACTCATGGCATCTCAAATCCAAGCTTCACGCTTCTTCTTGCCATCATTGTTATCAATCCTTGAATTCGAAAAAGAAGCTCGACCCTTGAGGCTAACTCTGTTCCCCAGAAGAAACCAATCAACTCGACGAGCTTCGTGGACGATTAATCCCATGAAAAGGTAACGTTTTTATTATATTGGGGGAGTTCAATGGTATTATATTGAATATTTGTCTTCTTCATTAGTTTCGAGATGAGAAGAGCAGATCGGAGGATAGCGTTTGCGTTGGACACAGGTTCTTCTGTTCCTGGAGATAACGGAGGACAAGAGATTAATGGAGACAGAAATGGTCTTGGTAGCACCAGATTAGGCAGAATTGCGATGGCAGGAGGCAAACAGTTGCTTCTGAAGCTCAACTCTGCAAGAAAAAACTTCCCAATGAAGATATTTCTGCTGCTGCTTGGCTTCTACACTGCCAATGCACTGGCCACCATTCTTGGTCAGACTGGTGACTGGGACGTGCTTGTCGCAGGAATCGTCGTGGCTGCCATCGAAGGAATCGGTATGCTTATGTATAAGAAGCCTTCTTCTTCAATGTTCTCTGGCAAGTTGCAGTCTTTTGTTGTGTTTATGAATTTCTGGAAAGCTGGTGTTTGTTTGGGTCTCTTTGTTGATGCTTTCAAGTTGGGTAGTTGAAGAAAAAGAGGCCCGTCCTTGTTTTTCTCTTACTATATGAGTAATGTTTGTGTATAGAGAGCCTTTGATTAGATTCAGAAGAGTAGCAGTTAATGTTTCAGTTTTGTTGGAATATGTCCGAGAATGCTTTGGGCACAATAAACGCAGTTATCATCTATATATATTATACTTTCAATTGTCTACAATTACAAGTAAGCTAAAAGCTTTGTCTTGAAAGAAATGAAGAATCATGTGAACCAATTGCTCTAAATAGTTTGTATAGAATCTTAATGGGAGCAAGAGGAGGCTGCTGCATCACAACACAACACAACTTGAGGCAAATGTTTGCCAGAATCCAGACAATGTATAACCATTGCAGCTTCTTCGATCCAATAATGGCTCGGTTTGTGCCCCTTAGTATCTGATTGGTCCGTCGAGGCTGCCTGTAGCAAACTGAGATACAAAAAGACAATGGATGACTAAAACTGCATCCCATCCCGACTGACTTACATTTGTGTTGAAATTAGATATGAATTTGTTAAAAATGAAACCTGTTGAACTATTGGATTTGCCGAGGTTGTAAATTCATGAGTCATTCCTTGCCAAACGATCTTTCCCTCATACAGAAACAATAACCTGAATACAAGAAACACAACTCCTCAAGGGATGAAGCAAAACCATAACTTGTTCAAATATGGACTAAAAGCAAAACCTGTCTACAGCTCTCTGAATGGTGCTATGTTGATGGGTAACAACTAAATAAGAGGCAATTTTTCCAGGTTTTCCAAGTGCATCCTCCTCGCCCGTCATGTGAACAGACCGTATAAGATCTTCAACTACAGTTGATGCAATTGGATCAAGTCCAGCAGTTGGCTCGTCGTACAAGAGCACCTAAGAAAAAAGCAACAGAGGAAATGAATTCCTAATATTTGTCACATGACGAGGTAGAGTTTTATCAAGAGCTATACAGATTGCAGGAGTCAAGCCTCTAAAGAAGAAACACATTCATGAACTTGAGTAGGTCTTCAGATTACCTCTGGCTCTATGACCTCTTTTGTTGTATCAAAAATGAGTGAACGAGCTAAAGCAACCCTTTTCTTCATCCCACCAGATAGCTCAGAAGGTAGTCGATTCTCAACCCCCTGATCTTATTAGTAAAAAGAAACCAATTATAAGCTGGATAAACTATTGGTTGAGTACTGAACTAGCCTATGTTATTGAAAGTTGTACGCAGAAAAAAGAATAATTAGTTTCTAGCTGGAGTAAAACAGTGTCATCATTTGATGTTGATAATAATTAGGATACCTTCAAACCAACAGCTGCCAAAGTTTGTGTCACAAGCTCAGATATTTGATTCTCCGACATTTTTGATTTTTCATAACTGGGATTAGTTAAAATGGAAAAGTTTAGTCAATATGACTGAAAACAAAAGAGAATCAGTCATGGCTAGAACTATGCACGACTTTAAAGTATAACATCTTACAGTAGAAAACCAACATTTTCACGAACAGTTAGAGAATCAAAGAGAGCTGCACTCTGAAATACCTGTAAGACAGAAAAAAGCCATTATAAACAAAGTCCAAAACAAAAACGCAGGACAGAGAATTATTTATATTTCATAACAGCACTTACGAGGCCAATACGAAGTCCTGATATTTCCTCATCACTTATCAAACCAGCTCGTTTTTTCCCTCGTATATAAACCTCTCCCTGCATACAAAGCATCAGAAACAAATCCATCTAGATAGAGAAAACAAAAGAGGACGATGTGCAATAATTGTAGACCTTGTCTGGAGCAAGAAGACCAGCCATGATCTTTAAAATAGTTGACTTTCCAGTCCCAGAAGGACCGATCACCCCAACAGCTTCGCCATGTCTAATCTGCATACTAAAAACTGGTTAGAATGTGGTGTGTTTGTGTGAGTTTCAAAATCCGAAGGCTTTACATAATCTAAAGTTCCAATACTAGTAAGGTGTCCTCAAATTCAAAGAGTTTAACAGGAGAAAAGACATAAAAGCATGTTTACACTGGAGTTCTTTGCAAGAACGTGCCCCGGGATTTCAAGAGTTTAGATTATGATATAATATCAAATCCTTGCTACAAATAGCCAAAGCAGTACACTCTTATGGCATGAGGATTGTCATGATGATCCTTAAAGCAAAAGAGTGGCAAAGAAAACCACTCAGATAGCACAGAAGCCTAAAGCTAGAGATCATTGACAAGATTCCTTTACATTGACGTATTCTGAAATGTAAAATGAGATTAGGAAATTATACCTTAAAGCTAACACCTTTCAAGATATGTTTTTCGCCGAATGATTTGTAGACATCTCGACATTCTATAAGAACATCAGAATCATTCTCAAGCTCTCGCTGTTTACGCATACCTCCCCCTGACTTTGAGAGATTCTGCAGATAATCAATCACTAAATCATCAATTACTAGACACGACCCAGAAATTCCAGACCTAAAATGAAGAACATTTGATCCAAAACCCAGATAAAAGCAGCATCCTGGGTAGAATTGTGATTTCATTACATGGAATTTGGTGGCAGGGGCTATGGAACAGCAAAAGACTTTCCGACCGAAGGAGCTAATAGTACTCCTTGTTCCTCCAGCGACGGACAGGTGAGAAGAACCAGGGCAGTATAAACTCG